TCAAACTATTCTCTCTGGCCAACCCTCACATGAGGACGTTCCACTTGTCTTGGATCTCCTTCTTCACTTGCTTTATCTCAACATTTGCAGCTGCTCCTCTCGTCCCTATCATCCGAGACAACATAAACCTCACGAAGCAAGACATCGGAAATGCCGGAGTTGCCTCCGTCTCAGGCAGCATATTCTCAAGGCTTGTGATGGGTGCGGTGTGTGATTTGATAGGGCCACGCTACGGCTGTGCGTTCCTAATTATGCTCAGCGCACCCACTGTGTTTTGCATGTCGTTTGTGGCTGACGCTGGGGGTTACATAGCAGTTAGGTTTATGATTGGTTTTTCTCTTGCATCATTTGTGTCGTGCCAATATTGGATGAGCACAATGTTTAATAGTAAGATTATTGGACTGGTTAATGGGACTGCAGCCGGGTGGGGTAACATGGGCGGTGGGGCAACCCAACTCATGATGCCTTTGGTGTTTGACATCATCGGTAGATGTGGAGCAACTCCTTTTACTGCCTGGAGAATTGCATTCTTCATTCCAGGGTGGTTTCATATCATTACTGGAATCATGGTGTTGACCCTTGGCCAAGACTTGCCTGATGGGAATCTTGGTGCCTTGCAGAAGAAGGGTGAAGTTGCCAAAGATCAATTCTCCAAGGTCAGTTTCTTTTTATTTTTTATTTTTTATTTTTATTCACTCACTTTCAAAGACAGAATTTTATATAAGTTGATAACTAATTATATTGATGTCTAATTGATCAATTTCATTACTATTGTTCAGGTATTGTGGTATGCTGTCACAAACTATAGAACGTGGATCTTTGTCCTTCTCTATGGCTACTCCATGGGTGTTGAGTTGTCCATTGATAATGTCATTGCTGAATACTTCTATGACCGGTTAGTTTTTCTTCTTTACTTATTTGTTTTTCATTTTTGGGTAACTATTTTTACCGTATTTAACGTTCTCTTGTCATATATATAATATGTTATGTTACCGTACTTTATTAAATAAATTTAATCAAACTGAGAGTTTGTCAATATAAACGCGTCATATTGTCTGGATAAAAAATAAAGTATAATTTCTCGTTTAATATTTTATTTATCTTTTACTGAGGTAAACTACTTACTAACTCAGTGATATCATGATCATTTTAACAAATATAAGCAGTGTTGATTTCCCACCTGTCAGTTGCATTAATTTCTCTCTTTTACCGTACTAATTACGTTTAATTTGTGTTAATCGAATCAACAGATTTGATCTAAAACTTCACTTAGCCGGCATCATTGCTGCATCATTCGGCATGGCCAACTTTGCGGCTCGTCCCTTTGGTGGGTGGGCATCTGATGTAGCAGGCAGGTACTTTGGAATGAGAGGCAGGTTGTGGACTCTCTGGATTCTCCAAACCCTAGGAGGAGTCTTCTGTATATGGCTCGGCCGAGCCAATTCACTCCCCCTTGCAGTCCTTGCCATGATCCTCTTCTCTATAGGAGCCCAGGCTGCCTGTGGAGCTACCTTTGGCGTCATCCCCTTCATCTCCCGACGTTCCCTCGGCATCATATCGGGCCTCACCGGAGCAGGTGGGAACTTCGGGTCTGGGTTGACCCAACTAGTGTTCTTCTCGACCTCAGCGTTCTCAACTGCCTCAGGGTTGTCTTGGATGGGGGTAATGATTGTGTGCTGTACTCTTCCTGTGACTTTGGTGCACTTCCCACAATGGGGAGGCATGTTCCTTCCAGCGTCCAAAGATGTCGAGAAGTCGACGGAAGAGTTTTACTATGCAGCTGAGTGGAGTGAGGCGGAGAAGCAGAAGGGGTTGCACCAAGGGAGTTTAAAGTTCGCAGAGAATAGCAGGTCTGAGCGTGGTAGGCGAGTTGCGTCTGCTCCAACTCCACCCAACACCACACCTTCCTATGTTTAGTCAACAAAGAGAAAGATCGACATGCAAGTGTGAAACACACAATAACAATGAATACTTTTATTTGGACCATCTTAATTAATCATATTTGTAACTCGTACAAGTGAGTTTTACAAATATGAATTTCAACTCTATTATAAGGTGGTACAATACATAATGAGTTAAATTAGGGCATATATATAGTTTCTTTGTACTGAAAATGGAGGCGGTGTAATAGGTTAATAGCGTGTGCTTTTATTCTATATGATGCAGACAAATGCTTTTACTTCTCATAATAAGTTTGTTAAGATCTTATAACACATCGAAACATCCTTTTTTAATGTTTTAGATGGACACAAATCAGAAGATTTTAAGGTCCGTTACTTCATTATTTTAATTTTCAATTTTTACGTCCCGTTTTATAACATTTTTGGTTTTTAGTCTTTTAGTTTCAGCAAATGTAAAATGAAAACCAAAATCGTGATTTCTAAAAAAGTAGCTTTCAATTTTCGATTTTCAATCTTTTTTTTTTTTAAATAAACAATCACCAAACTGTTATGACCCATTGTAGAGAATAAAGGGAGAGGGGACACGGCAAAAGCGAAAGAGGGATGAAGAATAGATTTGAGGAAATTTGCGTGCTATTCCCTAGTCCTTGTGTCTTTATTTATAGTAAACCAAGGAGGATTCCCTGCCTTGCAAGTAATACAATCTTAAAGAAAAATGATATTTTAGTATCCTAAATACAATCTACTAATGATTTACACAATCACACATTTGCTAGAATTATATTCTTAATACTCCGCCTTGAGTGTGTAAATCCTCAAGTAGTTGGCGCATCATATCTTCAGGCAAATTTAGAAGCAATTGATGAAGCCGTCTTGTCTAGTAGGCACAAGTAGTAGATGTGAGTCTCAAAACAAACAAAAAAAATGCATAGGTGGTAAAGCTTACAAAACCTTGCTATGGAAAAACCCAAGGTGGGATAAAAACCCATAGTAAGGAGAAAAGTGGGAAGTCGCATTAAATCAAAACTAAATGTCTTTTGGACGCAAGTAGAAAAGCTCACAACCTTATAATTAGCCCAGGATGGGTACCTCGTCAAAATCTAGTCAAGTAGCAAAAATCTAGTGGGAAAAATGCTGGTAATTGTAGGGGAAAATAGTATATTAGGATCAAGAGAGTATACTTTTAGATACTCCCCCTGAGTTTGACAAAACTTCCAAATGAGAACTACAAGCATTATTAATTGCTAATGAGATGGATAAGCATACCAATTCCTCAGACAAGCATCTAGAAGGTAGACTTCAACGGTAACACCGTGTAGGGGTCAACAAGATTGTCTAGGATCAAATTGCTTGACTTCAATCTTCTCATGCTCTGCTGAGTTGATGTCGAGCGCAATATGTTTATCGTTGACTTCGTTGATGTATCATGTCTTGGTCTAGTTTCTACATTTTCATAGATTGTCATTGGGACTCAACGGTGGATAAAAAGCCGCATATACTTCAAATATGCTCAATAAGAACTCTTAACCATGTCTCATGTGTACTGTAGTGAAAGTGAGTCTTAGAACGATTCGAAGATTTCGCAATCCTTATTGTGGATCTCCAAGATATTGCGGGATCCCTAACAATAAGGATAGAAATTTCCAAATTCCATATCCTATCTGAAATTCCCCTATGTGTGTATGGATAAGTTCGCGTGCGGATACCAGAAACGCCCATTGACATCTGCATCGATAAACCTCTATATATCCAGAGTTTCTTTTTTAGTAATTTGCTTTCATAATTCAGATTTATAATACATAGTGTTCTAACTGGAAAGTTCCAGCACATGCAGATTTTCAGGGCGACATAAAAAAAAACATAAGAAAATCCATCGTCATTAATGTGAAAATTAAGGGATAAATTATACCTTTTATCCCTCTGTCTTGAACCATCTACGTACCACTTTCGTTTTTTTAGTTTCAATTTTGGCAAACTTACTAGTCCTGGAGTTTAATTTGTTAAAATTGACTACGGAATTTGAGGTGGTAGTATGCGCACGTCTCTTGCGTTTGGCATTTTCGATATTTCAAGTTTATTGCATCTAGTCGGACATACGTATTTCGGGTTTGCTAACTTTGTAGGAACATATTCACATTTCACACATCTATAATTTACGCTCTCTAAATCTCCAATTTTCTTAAACTAACTTTGTGATAAAAATTGTGAATCTTAACAGCCATATGACACTTATAAAAATTGTATTAGTTGAGTTAGTTAATAAAAGGATTAAATTGGTTAAGGGTAGTATTGTAATGTGAAAGGTTTCTATAAAAACTATATTGTACAATTCATTGGTCATCTTGTAATGAAAGCTTCTTAAGTTTGATTCTATCTGTCTCTCTATTTTCCCCACTTCTCTCCTTCAATCTCAGATGCTTGAGCTTGAGCTCATTACTGTTAACAGATCTACTTCTTCATTAAATGCATTTTGAAATCATTTTCTTCTAATGAAACTATTATGTTTTAAGGAAAAAAAAAATGCTAGGGACACCATCTTTTTATACTACATTTTGTAAAAAAGAAGAAGACCAACCTTCAACGACCATGTCATGTGTTTCACAAAAGATAGTTTAAAAAAATGGTTTCTCTAGCATTACCCAAACTAAAGAAACCACATTTTGTTACCCATATCCGCTGCGCCAAGCTAACACCATTGCCCATCGCCTCGCGCGATATAGCTTGTCTATTGGCCAGTGTAGATAGTTTAAAAAAATAGTCTCTCTAGCATTACCCAAACTAAAGAAACCACATTTTGTTACCCATATCCGCCGCCAAGCTAACACCATTGCCCATCGCCTCGCGCGATATAACTTGTCTATTGGCCAGTGTAGTTGGGCAATTTCTTCCCCACCCCCCAAGCTCTTTTGCCTGTATCTCATTGATTTCAGCTCAAATGAATGGATCTACTATCGAACGTTATTTAAAAAAAAACTAAAGAAACCACATGTGTAAATTGGCCAAATTGGAATAAAGAGAATTAAACAAAATCAAATTAAAGCTTAAAACTTTAAAGTAAAAAGAAATTATATATATGTGTGTGTGTGTGGTATACAGATCAACTCAAAAGAGGCACACAGTCGTCACTGCCTCCGTTTTCATTACAAGTGAAACATGTACCAATTCGTATGCGATCTTCTTTATAGAGACGACATTCACATATTTAAAAGCAGTTCTCTCTGATTATTCGAGTTCTTCACTTGCACCCATTGATGCATGCATGTGATTAAACATGGGAAGGTGTGGTGTTGGGTGGAGTTGGAGCAGACGCAACTCGCCTACCACGCTCAGACCTACTATTCTCTGCGAACTTTAAACTCCCTTGGTGCAACCCCTTCTGCTTCTCCGCCTCACTCCACTCAGCTGCATAGTAAAACTCTTCCGTCGACTTCTCGACATCTTTGGACGCTGGAAGGAACATGCCTCCCCATTGTGGGAAGTGCACCAAAGTCACAGGAAGAGTACAGCACACAATCATTACCCCCATCCAAGACAACCCTGAGGCAGTTGAGAACGCTGAGGTCGAGAAGAACACTAGTTGGGTCAACCCAGACCCGAAGTTCCCACCTGCTCCGGTGAGGCCCGATATGATGCCGAGGGAACGTCGGGAGATGAAGGGGATGACGCCAAAGGTAGCTCCACAGGCAGCCTGGGCTCCTATAGAGAAGAGGATCATGGCAAGGACTGCAAGGGGGAGTGAATTGGCTCGGCCGAGCCATATACAGAAGACTCCTCCTAGGGTTTGGAGAATCCAGAGAGTCCACAACCTGCCTCTCATTCCAAAGTACCTGCCTGCTACATCAGATGCCCACCCACCAAAGGGACGAGCCGCAAAGTTGGCCATGCCGAATGATGCAGCAATGATGCCGGCTAAGTGAAGTTTTAGATCAAATCTGTTGATTCGATTAACACAAATTAAACGTAATTAGTACGGTAAAAGAGAGAAATTAATGCAACTGACAGGTGGGAAATCAACACTGCTTATATTTGTTAAAATGATCATGATATCACTGAGTTAGTAAGTAGTTTACCTCAGTAAAAGATAAATAAAATATTAAACGAGAAATTATACTTTATTTTTTATCCAGACAATATGACGCGTTTATATTGACAAACTCTCAGTTTGATTAAATTTATTTAATAAAGTACGGTAACATAACATATTATATATATGACAAGAGAACGTTAAATACGGTAAAAATAGTTACCCAAAAATGAAAAACAAATAAGTAAAGAAGAAAAACTAACCGGTCATAGAAGTATTCAGCAATGACATTATCAATGGACAACTCAACACCCATGGAGTAGCCATAGAGAAGGACAAAGATCCACGTTCTATAGTTTGTGACAGCATACCACAATACCTGAACAATAGTAATGAAATTGATCAATTAGACATCAATATAATTAGTTATCAACTTATATAAAATTCTGTCTTTGAAAGTGAGTGAATAAAAATAAAAAATAAAAAATAAAAAGAAACTGACCTTGGAGAATTGATCTTTGGCAACTTCACCCTTCTTCTGCAAGGCACCAAGATTCCCATCAGGCAAGTCTTGGCCAAGGGTCAACACCATGATTCCAGTAATGATATGAAACCACCCTGGAATGAAGAATGCAATTCTCCAGGCAGTAAAAGGAGTTGCTCCACATCTACCGATGATGTCAAACACCAAAGGCATCATGAGTTGGGTTGCCCCACCGCCCATGTTACCCCACCCGGCTGCAGTCCCATTAACCAGTCCAATAATCTTACTATTAAACATTGTGCTCATCCAATATTGGCACGACACAAATGATGCAAGAGAAAAACCAATCATAAACCTAACTGCTATGTAACCCCCAGCGTCAGCCACAAACGACATGCAAAACACAGTGGGTGCGCTGAGCATAATTAGGAACGCACAGCCGTAGCGTGGCCCTATCAAATCACACACCGCACCCATCACAAGCCTTGAGAATATGCTGCCTGAGACGGAGGCAACTCCGGCATTTCCGATGTCTTGCTTCGTGAGGTTTATGTTGTCTCGGATGATAGGGACGAGAGGAGCAGCTGCAAATGTTGAGATAAAGCAAGTGAAGAAGGAGATCCAAGACAAGTGGAACGTCCTCATGTGAGGGTTGGCCAGAGAGAATAGTTTGAAAACTTTGGCCTTGTGCTCTGAATCGACTGGCAAGTCGAATTTGGCTGTCGTGTCTGTTGGGACAATTGGCGATGCTACTGAGAATGACAAGGTTTGTTCTCTGCCTGTCACTCCATGCATGGAGCTTCCGGGTTCACCTTCTGAATCTGCCATTTTTGGGGCTTCGGAATTCGGGCTTTGGGGTTTGGATTTTGAATAGTTTCGAGTTTTAAACTGGATCGAGTTTTGGAACTCAGAAACTGCTTAGAGTAGTAAATGGAGGAGTTGTCGTGTTGTGTAGGAAAGGGGGAGTGTGGATTTATAGAGGGTTTTGAGTTGACCGTGTGAAGGGTTGTGAAGAGGCAAGAGTGTGATTCTCAATACTTTCTGATCCATTCGCCGCATCTGATATGTACAGGCAAAGGCTCATCGTATATCCCAAGGGAAACATAACCTTGCAATTAGCTGGTTATTATAAAGTAGGGGCACATAACTAGAAAAATTCAATACTAATTTTAACCACATTTTTGTTAATCTATTCTGAAGCTTTACTCGCTCCTCTATCCTTTAACGTAAATAATATCGTTTAAAAAAAAAAAAAAAATTAAGTCAATGAATCCTTATTAACTCTGTTGGGGACTCGTACACAATATTGCTGAGGACGTGTACAGATAACACGTTCCCTGTGCTACTGTACATTTATGTTTAACGAAGAGGAAAGATTCTTTGAGAAATGCTGCGTAGCATGGGCAATAACTGTACAAGCAATCATCTGCATGCATTAATAATCTGATTAGGGCTCATTTGGCTCTGTTTTCATAGATAACCAAAAACACAACACTATTTTGTATAAAATTAAGAAACTATTATTAGCATTTCAAAAATTTCATTCTACACTCCTAACAAGTGTATTTTTCTTTCTAATTATAGAAAATTTAGAGTGCAAAGTGAGATTTTTGGGGTGTTAATAACAATTCCCAAAATTAATAATGCTCCTTAATTATAAAACTTCCTATCGCTTTCTAATTATAAAAAATTTAAAGTGCAAAGTGAGATTTTTAGAGTGCTAATAATAATTCTTAAAATTAATAGTGCACGTTAATTATAAAATTTTCTATCGCCTTCTAGAAAAGCACCAAATTACTTCCGAAAGCTCCTTCAAAGATCACTTAGATTGTTAATAGAACTGTTCAGCAACTTGTAGTGCAAACACTATGAGTTTGCTCGAGACTAATTTTGGATGAAGAACTTAATTGTAACCCTATTTACTAAAAGAACATAGAAAGATCATGTAAATAAAACCTTTTTAATTACTGCAGAATCATCTTCGTAATTGTAACAATATATATTAATTGTAATTAGTGTAAGATTCCTATCTAAATAAATATTTTGATAAAACACTATATATATATTGTAATACTTTATACATATCAATACAAAAAGTCATATACCTACGTATTACGCAATCAAATTCAACAAGGGCATTCTTTGTCACTTTAGAACCTATAAGAAGTACTGTCTATCCAGTATTCTTAACTCATCAATTTCGAGCCTTGAATATTCTTAAAGATTAAACTAAGCCCTCGCCATGCAAGTTTCCATCCATCACCGCCAACCCCTATTTTTTATAGGATAGTAATATTTAATGTATACATACATTCTTTTTTATTTTTCACACACCGTTATTAATCTTTTATCATTATTTTTCTTCAATTCATTTGATTTAATGACAGAAAATTGAGATGGATATATGAAAAATAATAATAAATGTGTAAATAATGCTACCTTTTTTATATTCGTAATTATCATCCATGTTAATTCTGAATGTGTTTACTTTTGATCTATATGACAACTAAATTCTTTTAGCCGTTTTGTTAGGTAGTGATTTCCTCATCCATGGTGTTAGGCTAATTAATCTCTGACAGATACATCAAAGTTTATTCTTCTTTGATGACACTTGGAAATGTTTTTGCCAACCGGTTGATTTTTGTGCCCATTGTTGACAGATACATCACTTCTTAATCTCATTTTTTCTAGTTTGATGGGATTTGGATGCACTCATCAGTTTTGGAGACTGAGCCTCCTGAACAAAGCACACGGATCATTGGATTTTGATCTAACGATTATAATTATTGTAATTTTTAGAGTGCATTTTTATTTGTAACTGTTAAATCAAAATATAACGGCCTGTATGCTTTGTTCAGAAAACTCAACCTCCTAAATTCAGGAGAGGAACTAAATACAGTTTGATGGCACTCTGAATGACGCATTGTTCACTGTCAATAATTGTTGATTTTTTTAAGTGATATATTTATTAATAAGATATTTTCAATCTCTAGGAAATATCAACTTTGTACTCTGTTTTGTTATTAACATGTGAATTGTTAACATGATATGACAATCAATTTTCTCAATTTGACGTCAGAACTTGTCAAATAATAGAAAAAAATTACTTATATAGGGGTTATATATTCATGTCAAACATTTTAATTTTCTCAATTTGACATCAGAACATGTCAAATAATAGAAAAAATTACTTATATAGGGGAAATATATTGATGTCAAACATTTTAATTTTCTCAATTTGACGTCAGAACATGTCCAATAATAAAAAAATTTTGACATAACATATTGCTAAACTGTTAATCCACTGAAGGGTACATATCATCGTGCATGCTAGTTATTAGGCACTGATAATGCTTCATCTCATTTTGTGTCACTAATGTAAATGAATATCAATTGTTCTTTGTTTCAATGATGACTTATTGATTAGTATATAGTTTAACATATGTGTGAATGTGTGAGCCTTATATTTTGACATGTACCAATAATCTATTGCAACTTGCAAGTTTAAGGTGACCAAAATGCAAATATTTTAAGCAAAAATATACATGTTCTGCAATTTGCAAGTCAATCAAGGGCTAATGAGATGGATGACCCTTGACATCCATTACAATTCATCACATAAGTAATATTTATATTAAGTTGCCTTACTAATTATGTATACTAACAATTATCAAAATGTGAATTATTGGACAATTATGGCCCACAAAACTCCTACTTATAATTCCCAGATACAGGTCAAAGGTTTCATCGCTTCTGATCGCAAACTATACGATTTTTTTAAACATTTACCGATCGGTTGCCCGAAATGTTTGATGGATACACAAAATATGATTTATTATGCAATACTTAACCTTTCAATTGCTCATAGGGTTCTTTGAGGTCGTTTTTTTAATTTTTTTAATTTTCCTGAAGGGGCTTTGGACAACGCGATTTGGTATTGTTTTATTGGAATTCGTTGGCCATGCGTCGGAGGGATCTGTAATTGTGGCCTTTATTGTTTGTTTAAGAGATACGAAAAAACTATTGTGTTTTGGTGGCCATGGAATATTATAAGAGCTTTTTTGTATTTTGATAAGAACTGTCTATGATAAGTCCATGCATGGATTTGTCAGATCCTACAAGTGAAAGATAAAGAATGTTGCCCGATATCTTTGTTAGTTGGTCTTCCATCGATAAATCCAATAATTCCACTTCATCTGAATTGATATGATGAAACATATAATTCCACTTATATCTTTTTTATATCATTACACACACACACACACACACACAGACAGATATGTCTTCAAACATACGAAATGAAAAGCGGATGCAGGTTATCCAAGATAAATAAGGGCTTGTGATTGAGTAGAATAATTAAAAAGAGGAGAATAGTGGTGGATGATGGTTTATAATTTAATTAACAAGGAATTATAGACTTAAACGGGTTAGCCATTTTCATATTTGGATTCACTTACAATTTAACTACTGGATCCAAACGGTATTTAGATTATCAGATCTAACTTCTTGATTCACATACGATATTCATCAAATTTGAATCTTTATCGATGTTCATTTATTTCGAAATTCGAATCATTATATCTAAGCTCCCTTAATCGAAATTCAAATCATTATGTCTAAGCTCCCTTAATCAGAATCACTCCTAATCGGTATTGCTACAAATCTCTCTAACCTCTTGGTATTGTGTGGTGTGCCCCTTGACATGTGTGACCTCTTGGTTACATTGACATGCTTGTGCTATATACGTCCTAAATGATTTCTTAATAAATTCTTATTACCTTAAAAAAAAGTCAATTACACACAAGTATAATATTTGTGAAGTAATAATTTTTTTTTTAAATAATATGCTATATTAACTTGGATCATAATCGAACCGGATCAACTTAATCCATTTATAATCAGATTTTCGAACCGCTTGAATAAAACCATTTGAGTGGTTTGGTTTCGGTTTTGGTTGAGTTTTACACTAAATGGATAAAACCAAAACCAAAACAAACCGCTCGAATTGGTTTTATTTGGATAGTTTGAATGATTCAGAAGATTTTTCTTGCACATCCTTATTTCCTTTTGCTAAGTACATGACCATCCAGTTTGTGCATTTCAAAATGCATCTCAAACATTCATACCTAATAAAAATATAAAATATATATGATACAAGAAGAGCACTCTTACGAGGGCTAGGACATCGTGCATACTATTGCAACCAAATTTGAATCATCTTCCCGTAGATTATAGTAGTTTATAATATCATTAGAATCCTCTTCCCGTAGATTATAGTAGTTTATAATATCATTAATAAAATTTAAAACCAATCTAATAATGGAAACCCATCCATAATGAATGTATTACAATGATCCTCTTACTTCCCCCATTTTGCAAGGATAAGTACAGACAGTAGGAGTTGACTACTGACGTTACCAAAACAATTGGAGCACAGAATAAAACAAATGAATTATATGCTTGGGAGATAAGGCTTCTAGTTTTAGGTCAAATACAAAAATATTACCAACAATTGCATGCATGTTCCTGCAAGAGTTGCATATATCATTCAACCATATGATATGAAAATACAAGGAGAAGGCTTCCTTTTATGTATAAAGCAGGCATTTTATATTCACAAATGCAATCAAATGATCCTAATCACTTCAAATTAACAATTCTCGCATGAGATCATAACCTAACCAGCAAACTCCACAGTATAGCGAGTCTACGCTGAAGAATACATCAAGTCTACAAAGAAATCGGAAGAAATCAAACCTAATTTCATAAGCTTCTGTGAGGAAATAAGTATCTTTCACCGCTAATGTAGGTGTATTCTAGTGTTCAATTTCTAACTGCTGGTAGTCCCACTTCTTTGAACTGGTTTGTAAAGCACAACTGAAACAAATTTTGAACGAAAGCGATGAGTGAACCCAAGTGCGACCACAGAGCGTGGGGTCTCCCGGTTCTCAATGTAAAGATGGTTGAGTGTCACGTTTTGCGGTGCTGGAAGGGTTCCGGCAGTGTCTGCGCTTGCTGGGTAACTAAGTAATGTCTGTTGCAGATGTGGAGGGACAAGAGGTGGATCCCGTGCCTCGTCTTCATTCCCAGGGTACACGTTGTTGTAACTTGCATCGGGTGATCTTAAAACTTCAAATCCTGCAACAGTTGCTTCATCCTGCACATAAAGTTTTAAGGTTGCCCTATTTTATTTGAGTAGAAAATAAAAACATTAAGGTTCCGAAGGCTTACATAATCATCACCAAATGAGTTGTTCATGTTGAAACGGGAACTAGCAGGCGCAAGATCATCAACAGAGGAAGTATATGGACTAATAACCTGAAAGAAAGCAGCTTACTTCCATGAGAATCATAGAAGCACAGACGAAGGTTATGAACAAATAGGAGTATAATTGCACACCGCACACCAAGAAGAAAGCCAGAAAATTCTACCGTTTACTGCAAAATGTTAAAATCCAGGACAAACAACACAATGGCTATGGAACCCAAGTATGTTACCCAATTTTCACTTTCTGATACCAAGGAAATTTAATCTGATATAGCTATAAAGAAAATTAGAAATCCCAATTTGCATAGTAAAAATCCTTTCAGGTTTAATACAACATGGTGTTAATTTCTGAACCATATAATTTATTTTTACTTTAAATGGAGCCACAACAAAATGAAACTAATGGATAATTTTGTAAATTATAACAAGATAATAAGATTTGCTCTGCGCCATTTACCATACAACTTCTTTTCCGATTCCAACTTATCACAAGGCAAAAGAATAGGATGCTGGAAACCAAATCAAACAATCACTAAAATTATAGAGATGTAACCAGGAAGCCTCTGTTACTTAATGAGGATTAAACAAGTGAGAGACAGAGTGACAAGGGAAGGTGTGGGTTGGGGGTGGGGGTGGGGGCAGTCCTAGGATACGGAGTGTTGAGGGGCAGAGGCGGTCCTAGGATATGTAGTGTTGAGGGGTGGGGATGTTGCTGGAAAAGAGAAGCAGTAGGTTGGTGTTTTTTTTTTTATTAAGTTTTAGTTTTATTTAATCATAGATAAAAAAGAATGTGCCCTTCAAAAATATAGTTTAGGACATAAAAACTAACAGAACTAATGGAACGGACCAACATCAACTGGGATCAAGTTGAAGGGTCAGAGTAAACTACTATTCGAGTTCAAGGACGAAAATGCAACTGAAGGTATAAATCAGGAACCATAGCTACAACTCTGCTGTCAACTTCTTCACATAAATATAAGGTAAGTTATAAGGTACAATAATAAAGACTTTCCTATAATAATAAACCACAATAATATGTGCATCATTTCTTCCATCCAGAAGTGGAGAATGCCTAAATTAAACAAATAAAACAAGGCACATGTGTCCATCATTTGAATAGCATGAATTATGAATACATACAGGATTTATGGATAGATAGGGTTTAGAAATTAAGTTTTGGGGAACAGGATAAAGGATTTAAAGGAATAACCAGATGGCTCAAGGGATCTCGTCCGATTAGTAAAAGAAGGATGAAAACAAAATTAGAGAACATATAAATAAAACTTTGGTGATCACACCCATGGTTTACTTGGCTCAAGAAACCAGGGAAAGAGGGGAATTATGCCCCCCAGAGGAGCTTTACCTCTTATGAAGGAGTTTTCTATGTCAAACTCTGAAACTTTGAAACAAAACAGACCGCTGGCATTGGTACACAACCACACCCACATTTGCAATGGTAGCTACAATTTCAAACTTGTGGAAATTTCTATAGCCATAAATCCTAATTTATGAAAGACCAAATTCAGAAACAAATCCGAACTGAAGAAAGAACCCCAAGGTCACTAGGACATCCCATCCAAGCAAATACAAGATAAAAAGAAAAATGAAACAACTGCATATTAAAAGTTTCTTTGTGTTAAAAGAAAGAAAAGAACAGTAAAATCCCCTTTTCGGTAAGGTTTCTCATCATCAGACTTAACCCAAATCAACACTTGAATGTATCCATTTCTCACCCTCTAAAAGTCTTCAAAGGATGCAGTGATGGACTTCGCTCATCACTGGCACTGCTTCTGAAATAGTGAGGAAGGGAAAAACTTTAATCTTGCTACATAGAATATTCTACAAAAGAAATCACCGCGCACAGGCCTTCTCTAGAATGCGCAAATTTTGAAAAGACAGTGAATGAAAACTCAGAAGATCATACAGATAAAAAATGAAATGAACTGGAATCAGATTCCAGTCATGAAGAGTCTGCTGTGGCCCCACTGGTTCTGAGCTGATTCAACTTCATAATTTTTGTCTGCAAAGACTGAAGGTGCATGTCTCTTTCAGCTGTTTGGCTTGACCGGCAAGCTGCTATCTCTTAGTTTTGTTGTGGGAGAGCCTCATAGTCATCATTTTGAATTTTTTTTTTTTTTTTTTTTTTTTTTTGAAGTGGTCTCCTTAAACACTGCTTCTGTTTTGTAATTTTGTTCCGTTTGTTTGCAATAAAACGTCTCATTCTCAATAAAAGAAAGAAGGTGCATAGATGCCAACCTTCAAGAGCTTAGCCCAACTATAAATGTTACATACAAAATTTCAATAAACAAATAACTGTAAGAGTTGATCATAAAAACATTCTTCCCTTAAGTCAGATAAAAAGTCTTAAACAAATCTCTCACTAGCTTCTTATATCGCCCAGGTACAAAGCATTTCTGTGTTGTTTTAGACAAAATTCATTGATGCGCAGTAGGCATTGCCTCAAACGTGCACTTTAGCAACACATATTCATTTAAAAATAAGTATATAAGGCCTAGTTTCAGCATCGAGAAAGCTTTAGTTCAATTAGAAATCTCTTAAGCAGTTAAGAAAGGGAAATTAGTGGCTTTAATGATAAAGCATTTACTTTTTCTACTTCTTTTGAGATACAATAAAGCAGTTCTTTATAAAATAGATACAGAAGAAACTAGACTAGACATTCAGTGGTTGCATTGAGCTAACACGAGTAGATCGCAATAGAAGGAATGAAGGATGCAGAAAAAATGATGGGAGTTCATAGAGTTATACAGGGACCTTGAAAAAGAGAGCGCACACAATAATCAAACAAACACACAGGTACACTAAACCAAATGATATTGATAAGTAATACACTACACAAAATCTACACAGATTTCCATATGCAATCTTCTAGCAGACTGCATCACATTGTATATCCTGCCATTTTCCCTTTCATATTTTATTATACTCTTCATTACCAAGTTACCAATGATGAAAGCCTCAACATTAAGAAAGCAAAACAAAACTTATGGAGCAATTATTCTAAACTATTACCCCAACCCCTCCAATTAAACCATCTTTATAGCGTAAATATATGACAAAACACACAGACAGTAAGCTCATAAACAACAAGGTATTCACTACAATCTAGAATTCTTGGTGCACACTAAATACAAAAATTTCGAAAGTCCTAAAACTTCAAGGCCTAACATCTAACACAATTTACAATTGAAAAGACATCTTTGAGCCGAAATGAATGCAGAACAAACACACAAACTCACACACAACCGCCAAAAATAGAATTCCTTGAACTAAAGCTAACCTAAATATCCTCAGGAATAGATGCTTTTCTCTAAGGATGGAAACCATTTTGACTTGGTGTTTTCAAGGGTATGCGTGCGAAATCGAATAATGGCATTTCCTTTTCTAGTTCCGCCATACTAGCATTCATCGGCATCTATTGTTACAAATTGAAAGATGAATCTTATTCTTCCTCTTGTTTTAACTATTTTAACATCTAGGTCATACATTATTTCTTATATATGAATTGCAGAAACGAAAGAAGAACCCTCCTACTGGGTTTATATCTCAATACTATCAAAGGGGGAAAATCCATAAGATTAATCAACCACACCAAATATCAATATGCAAGAAATTACATTTCCAATAAGAGACTTACCTGATTGGACTAAAGCTCCAACCCTTAATCACCAATCTATAGCTTCTCAGTACCACTTTCCTCTTGAAACCAATATGCAGAACAATCAATCCACAATAAGTATTTTTGCAGACCCAACACTTAATCTGAAAAAATCAGGCAAACCCAGATAGAATCAAAGGCAACCCATCAGATATTTTACCAAAACCGAACAACCCAATAATCTAAAGACTGCAAATTTCATGGTTAAATCCTCAAAGTAAATGAAAAAACATTAAAGAAGAGCAAACCCAGTTTGGGAATAAGTTCAATTCAGTCGCATAAAAGAAGACCCACAATGGGATTTCGAGGTAGAAGCAAACTAGAAAGCATCCAAGAAAATCTTTACCAGGCGAACAGAGAAAAGATTGAAACTTTATATTGGAAAAGTTTGAAAAGGGGGGCGGGGGCTGTTGGTTGGAGGAAATGGCTGCAGGAAATCCAGCTCGAGGGACTTTCTTCTAGGAGGTTCCGCCGAGGAAAAACAAAATTTTCAAAATCAAAACTGAAACTGTTGAAAATGGTATTGGGTTAATGAATGTTGATATTGAAAACTTGGTAGATATTTTCAATACCCATATAGATTGGATTTGCAATATTGGCACATGAATGAAAACATTGGCAGTGTTGATATGTGGACTTGGAAACGAAGGAGATCATTTTTCAAAAGTGTGTTGTAAATTTTCAGTATGTAATAATACAAAGTGGCCCTATAAATAGAGCACTCCGACTGCTATCAACATATATAGAAAAAAGAAAGAAAGAAAATATCAATAACATCATTATCTATTCATACCTCCTTTATTTGTCATCCTCTTGTGCTATAGTTAGAGTGTAATATTTTACACATGCTTCGCTCTTGTCACTAGTAAATGTTATATCTTTAACTTTGACCTATTTATAACACGTTATCAGCACGACTCTCTAAATATAACTATTCCTCATTTCTCTTCGCTGAAAGAAAAAAAAAATGTTTCCTTTAAGGATTTTACTATTCATCTTTTTCTTTTGCCTTAACTGCTAAATATACCCTCGTGAAGAATTGTTTGCACCATGTCTGCTTTTAGTTCTCAACCTAACAATTACATATATCTTTTATTTCTTGTTTGGTGTAGATCTTGATTACTAATCCAGTGTTTATTTATGTTAATTTTACTGCAATCCAAGATGGTGCGGTATAATCACCCATCTTGAACTGCAAATTTAATCTTACTGCAATCCATGATGGTGCTGTATCATCGCCTATCTTCCAAGGGCTCACTGTAAGGCATTGAGAAATATATACAATCACCAGACAACGGTGATTCTTCCGATGGGTCGCTAAGGATCCAGGATTTCAAATCAATGAATGAGTACAATTCTGCGTTGTTCAGAATTACCTCTTAGATGAAACTCTGTGGGGATACCATTACTGAGAAAGATATGCTGGAAAAGACTTTCAACACATTTCATGCCTCTAACGTGCTTCTCCAGTAGTAGTATAGAGCGTGAGGCTTCACTAAATACAACCAACTGATCTCTGTGCTCCTGATTGTTGAACAAAATAATGAGCTCCTGCTGAAAAATCATCATTCCCGACTACTGGATCTATACTATTCCCAAAAATGAATGCTGCTTCTCTCGAAGTGAACGTCACATCTTCTGGTGGCAATAATCAGAAACGAGGACGTGGCCACAGGCGAAGACGGTGGAATGGGAAAGGCAAGAATCATGGTGTCCAGTTTCACAACTAGGTTTCAAAGCATAATTCCAGCCCAAACTTCAAAAATGTAAATCGCCACAAAGGCAGAGTTCATAGGAACAATGCTCTCAGAAACTCTGAAGGAGCCTACTATAGGTGTGGTGGCAATGGACATTGGGCGCGTACTTTTCGTACCCCAAAACATCTGGTGGATCTGTATCAAGCCTCCCTTAAGGAGAAGGATGTCGAGACCAATTTTCTTGACCATGCTAAACCAATGGATATACTTGATTCAGTATGTGACTTATCAGGGCAGTTGAACGCAACCCACTTAGAGGTCTCCAGACTTCACGGTGGAAAGGGAAAATGAAGTATACCGGTCCGATTGAATCATTGATGTTTGATGTACTTTTATTATGCTGAACTTGTAGTTTAAAAACTAGCATTTCAAATTCAATAAAAGTGACATTTAAATTTCCTATTATAAATTGCTTTTAACTGTAATTCCCTTACTCATAAAGCATGGATAAAAACATAGGAAATAGCAAAGATATTTGTCTTGCAAACAGCGCAACCATGCATACAATACTTCAAGATCGAAAGTATTTCTCTAGATTGATGCTTACAAAAGTAAGGGTAACAACAATATCAGGGCAATCAGATGTGATTGAAGGCTCAAGGAAAGCCCAGATTATGTTACCAAATGGAACAATATTGTCTATACAGAATGTGTTATACGCTACTCGATCTACTCGAAATTTGTTGAGTTTTAAAGATATACGTTTAAATAGATACCACATTGAAACAAAAAGTGCAGAAAATGTGGAGTATCTATACATTACCTTCAATGATACCCAGAAGCGTATATTAGAGACGTTGCGTGGTTTGACGAGTGGATTGTATTATACACACATAAAGAGAGTTGAATCACATACTGTCATAAACCAGAAGTTCATTGATTCAAAAGTTTACATGCTTTGGCATAACCGTCTGGGTCACCTAGGATTTACCATAATGCGTAGAATCATTACCAACTCCAATGGACATCCATTATTGAGCAGACACATTGTTATTTCAAATGATAGCCCTTGCAAGGCTTGTTCTTAAGGGAAGTTGGTAATTAAACCATCACAATTAAAGGTTGATGCTGAATCCCCATCATTTCTGCAAAGAATTCAAGGGGATATTTATGGGCCTATTTAACCATCTTGTGGATCATTTCGATATTTTATAATTTTGGTTAATGCATCTACCCAATGGTCACATGTTTGTCTCTTGTCTACTTGGATTGTAGCTTTTGTTAGACTTCTTACTCAGATAATTAAGTTGCGAGCACAGTTCCCAGATTACTGCATTAAGTCAATCCGACTGGATAACACTGATGAATTTACGTCTCAAACATTTGATTGCATGACACTGGGCATAGATGTTGAACACTCTGTTCCTCACGGTCATACTTATAATGGTTTAGCAGAATATTGATCAAGTAGCTTCAGTTAATAACTCGCACTCTGCTTATGAAAACAAAATTGTCAGTTTCTGCATGGGGACATGCCATCTTACATGCTGCATCATTAGTTCGATTGAGACTTATAGCTAACCACCAATACTCACCAATACAACTCATGTTTGGACATTAGCCAAACATTTCATATTTACGAGTTTTTGATTATGCTGTTTATGTACCTATTTCACTACCACAATGCATTAAAATGGGACCTCAACACCGACTCAGAATTTACGTGGGTTTTGATTTACCATCTATTATTAGATATTTAGAACCCTTGACAGGTGATATGTTTACAGCTCATTTTGCTGATTGTCACTTTGATGAGACTGTCTTCCCGTCGTTAGAGGGAGAAAAGACCGTTCTAGAAGAACGGAAAGAGCAGACATAGGTTGTTCCCACCTTATCTCATTTTGATCCACGTAGCACTCAATGTGAAAATGAAGTGAAAATGATCATTAATCTTCAAAGTATTGCTAATCAAATGCCAGATGCATGTAATGATACTATAAAAGTAACAAAATCACATATACCAGTTGCAAATGCACCTGGAAGAATTAATGTCCCTATTGGACAAAATAAAGTGGCAGCAAATGATTCATCTGGTGCACGCCTGAAGCGTGGTAGACCTCCAGGTTCAAAAGATTCAGCATCTCGAAAGAAAAAGTCGAGAGCACAACTGAATCCAAATGAAATCATTCAAGAAGAAAAAAATGAATGACACATCCACAATTCATGATTATGTACTTTCAGAAAAAGAAAATGTCTTTAATGAGACACATGTACTTGAAGAAACAGAGGTGCATGGAAGTAAAGAAATCTCCATAAATTATGCTTGTACTAATGAATTGTGGGATTGGAATGAAATAATCATCGACGACATGTTCGCATTCGCGGTAGCCACTGAAATCATATTAAGTGATGATCTTGAGCCCCGCTCTTTTGATGATTGCAAATAGAGACAAGATTGGTTTAAGTGGAAAGATTCAATCCAGGCGGAATTAAATTCCTTGGAAAGGCAAAATATTTTTGGACCAGTAGTCCAAACCCCGCCTATTGTAAACCTCGTGGGTTACAAATGGGTATTCACAAGGAAACGCGATGAGAAAAACAAGATTGCAAGATATAAAGCACAACTCGTTGTACAAGGCTTTTCGTAAAGACCTGTAATTGATTATGAGGAGACATACTCCCTTGTAATGGACACAATTACATTCTGTTGCTTAATAAGTTTAGTGGTTTCAGAAAAACTTGATATGCAATTTATGGATGTCATCACCGCATATATATATATATGGAGAATTAGATACTGAAATATATATGAAAGTCCCATAATGACTTAAGTTGCTTGAAACAACTAACAAACCATGATGTATGCTCTCAATCAAATTAAGGTGATCATTGTATGAGATGAAATAATGTGGTATAATCGTCTCAGTGAGTATTTGATTAAAAAAGGATATATCAACAATGTTATTTGCCCTTGTATGTTCATTATGAAATCTAGCTCTGGATTTGTTATAGTAGTAGTATATGTCGATGATATGAACCTGGTTGGAACCCCTGAAAAGCTCGATACAACTGCTGAATACCTGAAAATTGAATTTGAAATGAAAGACCTTGGAAAAACAAAATTTTGTCATGGCTTGCAGATCAAGCATTGTGCTAGTGGAGTTTTGGTGCACCAATCAGCTTACATTGAAAAAATCCTAAAGCGAATTGGCAAGGACAATGCTTATCCACTTAGCATGTCAATGGTCGTTCGTTCTTTGGACATTAAG